AAGGCCTCACGAAGCTGTTCGCATTCCAGTTGGAAGTTTGAAAGCTAGAAAAAGAGAAATTGTTCATTTTCTCACTACTATGGATAACCAATGAGATGTGGAAGGGTAAGGACCTGCATCTGTATCTGTTGTCTCTCTCTGGTTTCTTGTTCCAGTTGTCGACGAACCTCCTCAGCTTGAGCATGAAGTTGTTGCTTTATACGACTAACAGCAGCCAGCTGCGATTCAGCATCCTCCAACTGCCTACAACCATCAATCGATTAAGTAATCATCAATTCAATCAATTTTATAGAACATACTTGTTCAGCTCGCTATTCTCTCCCTGTAGTTTACTTCTGTACATTGTGAGCTCTTGGATAGTTCTGGCTTGTTCATCACTCTTCAGGGTCATATCAGTGAGCTGACTCTCAAGCTGTTTAGCAAGGCGCTCAACATTCTGAAAATTGACCAATCATAGCTGGGAATCGTCACGCCCCTTCAAATTATTTCACAACCATCCGACAAATGGAAAAAAAAATTCTTGAAAATGGTGTCAAATTATGTATCGCTGCTAGGAGATGACTCATAGCCCTCAGACGTCAAAGTTGGCTAGAAATCACCTGTCTCTGCTTGGATTCAGAATCAATAGCAGAGTGTAGCTCTTCGATTTCCCGTTGCTGTTGCACCTTGTCCTTTTCGAGCCTAAACCCATGGAAATCAGAAAAATTCCCTTATTTACTGAAAGTTTGGTGAAGATCAAAAATTAGACACCTACTTCGCTCTCATCTTCTGCATGGCATCCAATTGGTCTGTGATTTCTGCTATGCTTTCTGTATGCTTCTTACGGAGGGCAGCCATGGCAGACTCGTTGCTAATTGCTGCTTCTTCCAAGTCACGACGGATATTGGCCAGCTTAAATATTAGAGCTCAAACAATGGGAATTCTTTGAAAATTCCTCTAGCTTGCCTCAGCTTCTCTCTTCTTGTTCAACTCCATCTGAGCTTGTGTAGCGCCACCAGCTTCGTCAAGTCGATCGCCAAGCTCCTCCAATTCAAGTTGCATCTCATTTCTTGCCTTTTCAGCCTAAAATCCACGTCTAAGATAGCCGGGGCAAATCAGAAAAAAAAATAAAACGGGCCTTGGCTCTACTCTGACGTTCTGCTTCCAGTTCTTCTTCGAGTTCTTGGATGCGGGCTTGAAGTTCTTTAATTTGTCGCTGGAGTTTAGCAACAAGAGATTGTTCATCTTCAAGACGACCAGTGAGCGAGTGGATTTCAGCTTCTTTCCTAGAAAGACAACAGATTTCCAA